TCCCCCATTTTTCTCTTCTAATTGCTTGGCCACATTTTTGCTGTCTTCCGCTTTTGGAGATGAATGCCTGCCTCTCTTACACTGGCCTTGTTCACAACAAACATTTTGATTACTCTGTCTAGGAACCCATATTTATCTTCAGATCCTCGTTTTCTGTGGCTTCTAGAAGTGTTCTTTCTTTCTGACGTTTTTATCAAGAAATCACAGCCACATATGAGCATTGCTTGTTTGTCGCATATGAGAATTCGTCTAACATCTAATTGCCCACCCCAGTGATTAGGCTTTTGGGACTCACAACTCTGCCTATGCGAACAAAAGCCAATGTTGAATTAAAAATCCACATCATAGCATTCGGGACACTCCCATAAGCGCTCCGTCCCCATCTTCAGCAGCAAGCGAGCAAGCGAAGAGTTCCAGTTCTGATGGCACCAGTAGCCGTCTGATTGTATATCCGTCTCCTCCTTCCCCTGAGTGTTGAGCGTCAGCCACAGCTCCTGGTAACTCCTCGCAGGGCCATTCTCCTCAGACCGTAATGATCTATTGGCGCATCCGCACTGTTCACTCGTTCCCAAAGAGTCCTCACTATATCTAGCTTGTCATACATCAATTCACCACTAAGTTGTGCAGAACCGGCCAGTCTATCTGCCTGCTCATTTCCCAACACACCAGCATGACCTGGAGAAAATATCCAAAGGATGCTAACTACCCGGGACCTCTGAAATGATGCTTGCCACTCTGCACGAAGCATGCCTGTCTTCACAAAAGCCAGAGAATACAGAATGTTTGCAACAGTCTACATGCAGTAGGGAGCGCCCATGTCTGGCTTATTGGCAGTCCAATGGAAGCTACGCTGGTGTAGTAGCTAGACACTCGTCTGCGGATCTGAAAGTCTTATTTCCTAACATAACCTTAAATCGGTACCAGGTACAGCTCTGGGAAGTAAAGGCGGGCGGCGGATGTTGACCACATCACCCGCCTTTACTTCACAGGACCACCTGGTACCCATTCAGCGTTGGTCGACCTTGAATAATAATAATAAAACGCTGGGCCGTCTACACATTGAAGGTTAGCTACAGGACAGCAACTGCTGTCTTTGAATATCAGTCGGTAAGGCCACAATATCTTCCGCACTGCAACTCTCGTACCACTGCCTGATAGACACATCAGCGATTTTTGTTTTGATAATCCGTCTGCCGAGGTTGTGAACCTAAATACTCTAAAGTTATTTGCGTATCCTTAACAGAACGTTACGGGAGGGACATAAAAAAAAAAGGGGGGGGGGGGGGGCGTGCGTTATCTCGAAGCACGGTATCCGCCTCGACTCGAGTGCTAGATGTTCCGGGTTCAATCTTCGGTAAGGACTGGGATGTTTTCACGTGGACTTGTATTTCCCCTGGTCTCTGGGTAGTGAGATCGGACGCCCGTGTGCATTGTTGCGCACGTAAAAATTTCTGAAATCTACCTAAGATATTTCAGAATCCTCGCCGGTGCTACAGAGCCTGTGCACTGTGCCGAGCTTCTTCGGACTCAGACCTGAGTTAGAAGAAGAAGGGAGCACTTATAGGTTACTACCCATGTGCCATGATGCTAATCCGTTGTTGAAACTTCAAAACCATACAGGACGTTACAGAACCAGCCCCAGCACAGTGTTTGGCTGTTGAGATTTCTTTTAGAAAATTTTCCGTTTAGTAGTTTGCCATTGCCTCTGAACGGTCATCTGTCGGTACCACTGTCGAAACCAACGCAAGACAAATCGTCCGCAGCTGGGGATCGAACCCGGTACTCCGGCATCACAAAGCGCGTTCACAACGCCCAGTACTCTTCTTCTTTACGTCCTCTTTTACCGCTTCAGGTGTCGAGCGAGGTATAAGTTCCTACTTCGTGCTCTTCTGGCTGCTTCGACCAAAGACATATCGTGGTGCTGTAGAGTTTCTCTAAAGCAATTTTCCTAGTTGTTCTTGGTCTACCCCTTGCTTTACGCCCTTCTCCAGTACTAGTACTCTAGGGTCATGAAATTGTTTTTATTCATCTATTAATCTCTAAGCCACAGAGACGAGCAATAATAATATTAGTAATACTAATAATAATAATAACAACAATAATGACATTTTTAATGCGTTGTGATATATATTTATGCTGCAGATCTTTTAGTGGGTTTAAGGGGGAAAACAACAGGAGGGTTTTAAAACTCTTTCATCTAGTACTCTCAGCCTCGGTTCATCTCTTCTACATTGATCTTTATATAACACAGCATTGCATTGTTTAGGCTTGCAGAACGAGTATCGTCAGCTTTTGTTGTACATTTATGAGCAGGGAATGGTGGGAATGTCTACTTCTGTCTGGCTGTGTGTCCCAGTATTATCAGTATTGACATTTAAGCACTGGCCTTGCTATTTACGTCTGTCTACACTCTGTGCAACTTCCTATTTACGACTGTGTACGCTCTCTGCAACCACCAATTTTGCTTTTTACGCCTGTCTACACTCTGTGCAACTTCCTATTTACTCCTGTCTACACTCTGTGCAACTTGCTATTTACGCCTGTCTACACTCTGTGCAACTTCCTATTTACGACTGTCTACGCTCTCTGCAACCACCAGTCTTGCTATTTACGTCTGTCTACACTCTGTGCAACTTCCTATTTACGACTGTCTACACTCTGTGCAACTTGCTATTAACGACTGTCTACACTCTGTGCAAATTGCTATTTACGCTTGTCTACACTCTGTGCAGCTTGCTATTTACGGCTGTCTACACTCTGTGCAACTTCCTATTTACGCCTGTCTACACTCTGCAACTTCCTATTTACGCCTGTCTACACTCTGTGCAACTTGGTGTTTACGGCTGTCTACACTCTGTGCAACTTGCTATTTACGCCTGTCTACACTCTCTGCAACTTGCTATTTACGGCTGTCTACACTCTGTGCAACTTCCTATTTACGACTGTCTACACTCTCTGCAACTTCCTATTTACGCCTGTCTACACTCTGTGCAACTTGGTATTTACGGCTGTCTACACTCTGTGCAACTAGCTATTTACGCCTGTCTACACTCTCTGCAACCACCAGTCTTGCTATTGACGCCTGTCTACACTCTGTGCAACCACCAGTCTTGCTATTTACGACTGTCTACACTCTGTGCAACTTGCTATTTACGTCTGTCTACACTCTGTGCAACCACCAGTCTTGCTATTTACGCCTGTCTAAATTCTCTGCAACCACCAGTCTTGCTATTTAGCCTATCTACACTCTGTGCAATCATCAGTCTTGCTATTTACGCCTTTTTACACTCTGTGCAACCATCAGTCTTGCTATTTACGCCTGTCTACACTCTGTGCAACCACCAGTCTTGCTATTTACGTCTGTCTGCAATCTTTGCAACCACCAGTCTAGCTATTTACGCCTGTCTACACTCTGTGCAACCACCAGTCTTGCTATTTACGTCTGTCTGCAATCTTTGCAACCACCAGTCTTGCTATTTACGTCTGTCTACACTCTGTGCAACCACCAGTCTTGCTATTTACGTCTGTCTGCACTCTGTGCAACCACCAGTCTTGCTATTTACGTCTGTCTGCAATCTTTGCAACCACCAGTCTTGCTATTTACGTCTGTCTACACTCTGTGCAACCACCAGTCTTGCTATTTACGCCTGTCTAAATTCTATGCAACCACCAGTCTTGCTATTTAGCCTGTCTACACTCTGTGCAATCATCAGTCTTGCTATTTACGCCTTTTTACACTCTGTGCAACCATCAGTCTTGCTATTTACGCCTGTCTACACTCTGCGCAACCACCAGTCTTGCTATTTACGCCTGTCTACACTCTGTGCAACCACCAGTCTTGCTATTTACGTCTGTTTTCAATCTTTGTAACCACCAGTCTTGCTATTTACGTCTGTCTACACTCTGTGCAACCACCAGTCTTGCTATTTACGTCTGTCTACACTCTGTGCAACCACCAGTCTTGCTATTTACGTCTGTCTGCAATCTTTGCAACCACCAGTCTTGCTATTTACGTCTGTCTACACTCTCTGCAACCACCAGTCTTGCTATTTACGTCTGTCCTGTCTACACTCTGTGCAACCACCAGTCTTGCTATTTACGTCTGTCTACACTCTGTGCAACCACCAGTCTTGCTATTTACGTCTGTCTACACTCTGTGCAACCACCAGTCTTGCTATTTACGCCTGTCTACACTCTGTGCAACCACCAGTCTTGCTATTTACGTCTGTCTACACTCTGTGCAACCACCAGTCTTGCTATTTACGTCTGTCTACACTCTGTGCAACCACCAGTCTTGCTATTTACGTCTGTCTATACTACTCCGCATCAAAGTATATTGGGCATACCCATAGATTCTCCTAGAGAAAATGACTTGAGATAAAGATGCCGACTGTTGCAGTAACACACAGATCATTGGTAAGGGTTACGGATTTTTTTCTGTCCCCTTCCCCCGTCCCTTCAGAAAAACATCATAAACCATACAGTATGTGGCGACTACACACATTCAAAAAGCATAAACTATACAGAAAGTGGAGACTGTACGAGCCATGCATCATTACATTCTTAAGTTCACAACTCTCCTGTTTCACATCGCTGAAAGTGGTAAATGCAGCCAGTACATAGACAGTTTGCTACCAAGACAGCGTCTTCTATTGATTCTCATAATTTACATGTCTTCTGTAAATATAGTGTTGATTACAGTACACGTTCTCGCTCATTCGTGAATATACACACATAAAACACTCGCACACACGTATAACGTATCTAAAACATACAGAAACATATATACATATTATATTTACAATTATCTCCATTGCATATACGTGAAATTATTACACATTAGAATGTTCCAGACTTGGGTGAAAGAGTTTTAAAAACTCTCATGTATCACTGGACAGATCTCTGCCAAAACGTCAGTTCACTCCGAAAACTTCAAACACACGATAAAGGACACACTTGCATGGAATTTCTTGTACACCATAATTTTGTACACGCACATACTAACTCCAGTCAAACCTTCTCCCAACCATCTGAAAAAATTTGGCGTTGAAAGGTCTATAAAAATCCCTGAGTCTCTGCAGAACACTTTCTTTAACCACAGGATGGTCTCTGCCCTTGGTCTTCTCGTCAAGACAGTGGGGCTTCCCTTCGCGGATCAAGCATGGGAAAGTGCCCTTAAATCCTCTGAGATAAAAATGCGAGTCATTTATATACTTGGGCAGGCCAAGAAATGTCTCCACTTTGGCCACTTCTCGTGCTGGCTCTTCTATCAACATCTGACCATCCACTAAATGAATCTGGTGTAGAGAGAAAACCTTCAACCAGTGCTCCATATGTTTAGCGTAGACGCCGATTTTGATAGCGCCCCAGGACGTGTTGACCAGGCCCAGACGTTCGTCTAGAAGAGCCATGTTTTCGAACGATTTCATGGCGTGTTTACTCATTGCCTGGCAGTAGTCTGAGATGGCTCTGGTTACTGGGTCCCTTACCACCAGAATTAACTTGATTGTGGGGTCCATTTCGAAGATTCGTTTTGGTACGTCGCGGGTGACAAAGTACCCTGGGGTTTTCTCCACCGTGACTTGGTGATCGTACGTCTTTGGCATGAGATCTCTGTGGAAGATAAAGAAACAGTGGGATAAACTCTTACAGATGCAGTGAGAAATATAAATAAACTAGACGATTAGCATAATTTTACTTTCAAGGTTTAAAAAAAAAAAAAAGACGAAAGATCCCTTTTCACGTATTAGGCGCATCGGGCAAATGGGAAGAGCATTCACATATTTTTACAGACCAATCAGCGCTCGGTGGGTAATGTGGTCAGCATTACGCCTTTATACTTACTGGGTAACTAATATTCTTCCCCCCCCCCCCCCCCCCATTTTATGCGATAAACTTAAAAGGGCGATTGCCACGTTGTGTTGGGACTCAGAAACGTTTTTAAAACTCCGCCCCAAACAAAGGAAATCCCGGAGTTTCCTGGAAAGAGTAATGTTCTAGGGGTGTTATGGGTTGGGTTAGGGTTATTTGGTGTCCGTGAGGCGGTCCGGCCTGACAAATATCCTAAACCTAACCGCAACCCATAACACTCCACTATACTGGACTTTTCCGGGAACCCTGGGATTTCTTTTTTTGGGGATTGGGGTGGGGGGTGGGGGTGTTAATTAATATCAAGTACCGGGGTTCATAGCTAAGCTGCGATATCATTAAATTTCGGCCTAACAGATTCATTGTCAGCAAAGACCGAATTTGTCGGCTCTTGTGACATGCTAGTTTATCACTCCTACACCCCAGAAACAACACCTTGACCTTTATCCATCACTTGCAGTCAAACAGTATCCGTATTTAACCGTATTTAACGGTATTTAACCAAGAACTACGTTGACCATACGTCTCATTGTCAACGGGACAGTCCCGATTGTTAGGTGTGTCTCGATCGTCTCGTCTCATCGGTACCCAAAAACACACCAATGGTCCCGTTTTGCAAAAACTCTAGGGGTACATCTCACGTTTTCGGGCCCAGAAAGAGAGTGACTTTCCTTCGTGTTCTGTATTACAGGATGTGAGTGCTTTTAAGGGTCCCGAAACATGCAGAACTGGCCTAACCCCAACCCCCTTCCAACCTCCCTCCTTATGTCCCACGAGAGAGTGCAGCCTACGTCCCACGGCTGCATGCAGCGTAGCGTGACACCCCCTCCCCCCCCTTTCCCCGCGCATCATAGGACAAGCCGTGCGACACGACGATTTATGAATGGAAATAAAAGTCACTCTCTTTCTGGGTTCGAAAGCGTAAGTTTTAATAATCTAGGAATTCGCTGGAGAATAAAACATACACTTATAATTATTTCTTTGAGCCTTTTTGGGGGGGGGGGGGGGGGGGGGGGGGGGTTAATAGTTTCATTGCCTGAAATGTGTTTTCTTCCTCCTCTTCTTCTTCTTCTTCTTCTTCTTCTTCTTCTTCTTCTTCTTCTTCTTCTTCTTCTTCTTCTTTAGCATTCCGAGCCCTTGAGGTTCATTGCTGCAGATATCACCTGCCTCTACTCATCTCTCTGGTTGGCCTTCTTTTTGCAGTTGGTGACACCAAGTGTTTGTAAGTCATCTGGACATTTTCTTCCCATCCTCTTCTTTTTGTGCCTCATGGTCTACGACCATTCAGATCCCTCGTGCGTACAGTCACACAACATAAATCTGTTGACTATTATTTTAATTCTTTCGATTTTTGTTGTGTGTGTGTGTGTGTGCGCGCGTGCGCGCGCAGATAAAGAGCATATTGTTTCGTTTATTTGGTGACAACGATCATGTTGTACCATTGTTGAGTCAGTCATAAACCATTTGACCCCGGTGATCTAAAAAAAAAAAAAAAATCAGATATTGTCGCTAAACTGATTTGCTTGGGTGTCGTGATTTCAGTCTAAGATTTTATTGCTGCCCTACTAAGAACTGAACACAGAACACTACGTTAAGAAGGTATGCTCTACCTACAACGACGTTACTTTTGAGAAAAAGCTTTCTTTAAAACAGAAAGTCAGCACTTTGGCGTAAAATGTGTCTGCAGCGAACTTAATGCGAAAGACATCCCCAGTTAACAAGACACGGCGACAGACAAGGGCAGATAATGATACACTAATGCGACAACGATAGGGACACTCCTGGTAATTATGGTACTTGGCCTGACTAAATTTAGCCCCGCCTGACAAGGACCCGCTGCTGGGAGACATCATAAATGGTGGCTAAGTTTGGACCTTTTGGGTGGATGAGAGTGTCTCACACGGGGACGAGTGGTAGGGCGAATCCAATTTAAAGAGCTCGACCAGAAAGCAATCAATCGCAAGGGGAATGTATTGATTGTATCCAGCGAAGCGCGTTGACTTGATTGTCTGTGTGTGTGTGTGTGTGTGTGTGTGTGTGTGTGTTAGTATTTCAGAGAGAGAGAGAGAGAGAGAGAGACAGACAGACAGACACAGAGAGAGAGAGAGAGAGAGAGAGAGAGAGAGAGAGAGAGAGAGAGAGAGGGAGAGACGAGGAAAGACAAGCATATGTACTAATGAGGTGTAATGATGAAGATGTCGATTGTTTGTTTTAGTATCCAGAAGCCATGAGTTGGTAACCCTTAGGCTCGGTATTATGGATATCGCAACATTTCGGCCTTGATTCCATGATAAATACCGTAAATCTGGGAGAAATGGGGCTTTTCTGCCTACCCCCGGGAGTGAACCCGGACCACAAGGAGTTCGTCCTCCGGTCACCGCGCAATCCGGTTTAGCCAACTACGCTAGAGAGCCGGGCAGGATGTCGATAAAGTGAAACAAATGGAATGTTATTGTGTAGATGACCATGTTCTAAACGACCAGGTTCCAAACAGTGGCGAGGCGTGATAATTTCGCACGTGTAAGCGTTATTACTTACTGCAGTGGAATGTGGAGAACATCGAACAAAACGTTGAATGAGTTATGAACTGAAATATTAATGAGAATTATCATGAGAAGAACAGGGTGCAAAATTGAACCAGAAATTGAAGAGCAGTGTGGTTTTGTTGAAGGTAGAGGCACACACAACGCCATATGTATTTTGAGAAAACTTTTAGAAAGAATGATTGACATGAATAGGGATTTGCATTTGTGCTTTATTAGTTACACTAAAGCCTTCGATAAAGTGAAACATGAAGAAAGTATTAGAATTTTAGAAACAATAAACATTCTTCTTCTTCTTCTTCGCGTTCACCAGCTGTAAACTCTGGCGGAAGGTTCTGGTTGCTCGTCCACTACTGAACTGCAGTCCTGCTTCAGAACCTGAGTGTTGCGTGTGCATCAGTTTTACAGTTCTCATTCTCTTGAATACAGACTGTTGGTTCCTTGCCTCTCCGGCAGATGCACTCCGACTTCAAAGGAAGCTCCCCAATTAGTCGACTCTTACGACATGCTTTTGGGGAGGCAGTGGGTCTATTCTTGTTTTCCCCACAATGGGGCCCCGGAACCCACACGGGGGACAATAAACATTGATGGTAAGGATCTGAGAATTATAATAATTAAAAAAAACGTTGAGGCGGGCGCCATGGTTTGAGACCACCCAGCCTCTAATAAAGCAGTAACCAATAGTAAAATAATGATTCGAACGTGTGGGGGGCGGGGGGCGAGGGGGGGGGGGGGGGTGGGGTGTGGAAAGTGTAAGCAGTACTTACAACATTTACATGTACGCCTCGCCAATGGTTCCAAACATCATGTAGACACTTACAGATCCATATATCAGTGTACATTTCAGTATGCTCAAAGATTTTTTTTTTTTTAACGTATCCAGAAACCATGAGTTGTAAACCCTTTGGCTCGGTACTATGGGTATCGCAACCCTTCGGCATTGATTCCATTATAGGTACCGTTAATCTGGGAGAAATGTGGCTTTTTCTGCCTACCCCCGGGAGTGAACCCGGACCACATGGAGTTCGTCACCCGGCCGCCGCGAAAGTCAGGTTTAACCAACTTCGCTAGAGAGCCGGGCTTGCTCAAAGATAAATAAATCGATCTCAGGCACACATACACACACACAAAGTTATCCATTTCAGCCAAAATCCACTTGTGGACGTTTCTTTTAACGCTAAATTCGTTATGGCGCTAACTACAACACCGCTGATTGTTTTCGTGATCTGGGTTTGAAATGAGGTCACGGCGTTTCGGTACACGATAAAGGAAAATAAAAGCTGGCCTAGGCAGTAAATTGATACACACATCGAGAAATTTAGCTGACCAGCTCAACTGAAAAAAAAAAAAAAAAACAGTGGTTATCTGATATGTATGTATACGGTTACTAGCATTATCTTTAGACGTTTTTTTCTCACCGAAATACTAAAAAACAAACTGTACAGTGAACAAGCAACGGGGAACCATAAACAAATTAACAGATGGCGAAATACCGAGAAAGAGATGGAAAAATTGTGTAGCTGAAAACTGCCAAAAACAGATGAACAAATCCATCATTCAAGCCAGCCGACGAGTGCAAGACAAATACAGAAAACCAACATTGTTCTATAGGCTACATGGGCACAGGTGGTGAGCTAGACCAGTTCTCAAGGGACTGTTTGCACAAACGTGACCAGCTAAACATTGTTCTATGGGCTACATGGGCACAGGTGGTGAGCTAGACCAGTTCTCAAGGGACTGTTTGCACAAACGTGACCAGCTAAACATTGTTCTATGGGCTACATGGGCACAGGTGGTGAGCTAGACCAGTTCTCAAGGGACTGTTTGCACAAACGTGACCAGCTAAACATTGTTCTATGGGCTACATGGGCACAGGTGGGGAGCTAGACCAGTTCTCAAGGGACTGTTTGCACAAACGTGACCATATAAACATTGTTCTATAGGCTACATGGGCACAGGTGGGGAGCTAGACCAGTTCTCAAGGGACTGTTTGCACAAACGTGACCAGCTAAACATTGTTCTATGGGCTACATGGGCACAGGTGGTGAGCTAGACTAGTTCTCAAGGGACTGTTTGCACAAACGTGACCAGCTAAACATTGTTCTATGGGCTACATGGGCACAGGTGGTGAGCTAGACTAGTTCTCAAGGGACTGTTTGCACAAACGTGACGAGCTAAACATTGTTCTATGGGCT